GAATATGAGCATGTTCACTCTGGAGCCTAATGGTGGTGGAGCCTCCAGCTGAATGACTATGAGCACGTTCACTCTGGAGCCTAATGGTGGCAGGATTTCCAGCTAAGCAAACGTGGGCGTGTTCACTCTGGAGCCTAAAGCGGGGGGGGTTCCAGTTAAGCAAGCGTGAGCTCGTTCACTCTGGAACCTAATGGCGGTTGGGGGTCCAGGGGACAGAGCTTGAGCACGTTCACCCTGGAACCAAATGGTGATGGGACTTGCGGATGAGTGAGCGAGTCCGTTCACTCTGAAGCCTAATGATGGTGGCATTTCCAGGAGAACGAGCAGGAACCTGTTAACTCTGAAGCCTAACGGCGGCAGCGTTGCCAGGTGAGCAAGCGTGAGCACGTTCACTCTGGACCCTAATGGTGGGTAGGACTTCCAGGTGAGCGACGCGAGCCCGTTCACTCTGAAACCTAATGCTGGCAAGTGCTACGGGAGCGAAGGAAAGGGAGCTGGCGGTTGGGATTGGTGGGATGGGGGGGATGCAGCGTGTTGGGAATGACTGCGGCTTGTTGGCCTTGCAGTGAGGACTGGATCCCTGGATGGATGCCCGTCCGGATGGATCCCGATCCCTACGGATCCGGGCTTGACTTGTGCCTGCCTGGAAGCACCGTGGTCTGGATGCATCCCAATCCGATGGACACCGGCCTGGGCGGATCCGGCTCCAGCTGGCTCCGGGTCTGGATGGATCCTGGTCCCTGGGAACCAATCCGGATGGATAACAGCGCGATCCCAAACCTGGGTCAGCCAAAGAGCTGGAAATGGGGCAATAAATCTGGTACAAAAACAGTGGTTTGGGGAAATAAAAGAGAGGGAAACTGAGGCAYGGGAAAGTGCCACCTCCGTGTGTGTTTGCACACGGAGCATGTTGGTCTGGGGAGGGGTGAGGGAGTCGGCACATCCAGGCGTTTCCCTGCCTTGTTCACTCTGAAACCTACTGACGCCCACCCACCCGCGATTGCAGCAGGGAGCCCCCCAGTGCGCCCGGTCACCACCGCGGTGCCGTGGCCACCGCTGTGACCCTCCCCTGGCCCCCGGGAGCACCCTGGAGCACCCTGGGGCACCCCGGAGCACCCTGGAGCACCCTGGGGCGCCCCGGAGCGCCCGCGCGGGTGCAGAGGCGGAGGGGAGGGTGTGACTGAAACTCCCGCCCGGTCACATGGGGAAGCGGCGGCAGGAACCGGGCGCCGCGTTTCGGGCAGCGAGCGCCCCAGGTACCGTGCCCGGGGTGGGGGGACGGGCACGGGATTGGGGGGGGACACACACGGTGGTGGCCGCGGGTGGGTGGCACCTATGGGTGATGCTCCGCGGCGGGTGGCACCTGGAGGATGGAGCCCGTTGGACCCGGGAGCAGTGCGAGGACATGGGGGGGTGACGCTGTGGGTGAAGGGACCCCAAAARTGCTGTCACCGCCACCCTGCCCCCCTGCACCCACCCCAGCAATTGGGGGTGCTGGGACCCCCCAGTTTGGGTGCTGCTGTCTCGCTCCCACTCCTGGCCTGGAGATGGATGAGGGAGGGAAAGTTGTCACCATGGCCTCGGGGTGGCCTTGGGGTGCAGCCACCTCCCCCCCCCAATCCTGCACCCCACCACGTGCACCCATGGGTGGGGGGCACCCCGAACCCCGGGGCCTTGCGCAGGAAGGCGCAGGTGGCAGGAGGAAACGGCGGCGGAGGGGAAGAGGCGCCGACGGAAGCACCTCCGGCGCCCGCCCGCACCCGGGGGCCACCCGCCCGCGGTGTCACCCGGCGCCGCCACCGCCGCCGTGTCACCCGTGGGACAAGCGGTGCCACCGCCGCGCCCTGGCGGGGCCACGCGGAGGGACCGGTTCGGTGCAGGGCTGGGTGCAGTGCGGGCACCCATGGGGATGGGTTGGGTGACGGGGACGTCCTCGTGTTATGGGGA